CTGACACTTTTTGAACTATATTACAAAGGAGAAAGGTGCTCATAGTTGTAGTCCAAATTAAAGAACTAATGTTGTTTATTAAAGAGGTTAAAATGAAGAAATACCATAATTAATTTCATTCATAGGTTTTTGTATTTTACTCTATCTAAACTTTCTTATTATGATGCAGGAAGATGGGAAGGGGAGAAGGGGAAGGAGTGAAATTCACCTTCCTTAAAAAAAAGCTCACAAGTTGATTATAGAGATTTATTTAGTAGTCTTAACCAACCCACCTCAGAGTCAGGCTTTGGTTTGTTTCAGTAACAGTATACACGGATTATCTACCTACCTTAAAGGGAAAAGAAAATCCTTTGTAAAATAATCAAATCAAACCACCACCACTTTTTTTTTTAAAGGTAATTGGGGTTAAGTGACTTGCCCAGGGTCACACAGCTAGTGTCAAGTGTTTGGTCTGAGGCCGAATTTGAACTCAGGTCCTCCTGACTTCAGGGTCGGTGCTCTATCCACTGCAACAACTTGTTGCCCATACTCTTGAAAAACTTATGTCAATCACCTGCCCAAAGTCTTCCATCTCAATTCCAGTAACTTTGCAGCCAAAACCTTTTCCCCAAGCCATTACTCAGCCTCAAGTATGCTTTCCCTTAATTAGAGGGGAGGCTTCTTGAGGGCAAAGGCAGTCTCTAATTTTTGTATCCTTGGTGATTGCCCAACAATAGGTCAACAAGCATTTATTAATTTACTAGTGTCAGGCTGCAGTTAAACTGGGGGCAGGGGAGAGATTAAGAAAAGCAAAGAGAACCTGGGTCCTCAAAGAGCTTACTTTCTAAAGGGGGAAGCAACCTGCAAACAACTATGTATGTAAAAGATATGTCCACGGTATACATATGTAAAAGGTGTATATAGGGTAAATTGGAGTTGGCACATAATAAAACTTAATGAATGCTTTTTAATTTATTCATTCAAATATGATTTATTACATTTCTTATACTCCCTTAGGACCAATGACAAACACTGGTGAAATCTGTAAAAGGTCTGAGACTATGGAATAGAACACAGGTTGTCAATATACACTGCTATGAATTTATGACCCTTGCTGGCCTCATTAACTTTGAATTAATTGACCTACTTCATCCACCTGAATAAAACATACCTACCAGGGCTGATAAGAGCACTGGTTTTCGGAGTATGATCCTGGACCCCCAGGTATCCTAAGTTCCTTTTGGGGGTCCTCCAAAACAATTTTTATAGTAATAAAGATATTATTTGCCTATTAAGATACGCCTCCCTCTTCCAACTAAATATCTTTGAGGCTGAATTTTCTTCAGATACTTCAACCAAAACAACATATTACAAGAGACTGAATATAGAAGCAGATATGAGAATCTATATCTGTCTTCTATTAATTCAAACATTAAAAAGATTTGAAAAAATATGCAAAACAATGACCCTTCTCACTAAGCTTATTTTGGTTGGAAAAATATTGTCATTTTTTTCATAAGATGTTATTTGTGTTAAAGTGTAATGGATTTATTGTTATTTTAAAAGTAATTGATGTTTGTTTAAACTATCAGTTTTAATTAGTAATATGGTAAATTGCAATAGCTATAATCCAAATCAACTAAAATTCTTTGAGAACCTCAATAATTAAGAGTGTAAAAGAGGTCCTGAGAACATAAAGTTTGAGAACCACCACAACAGAATAAGAAGGAATCCCTTTACAATTCCTAAAGAAGAGCTCTACAAATATAAGACATTGTATAATGGGTGGAATCTGCTTTCTTAAAGAAAAAAAGAAAAGAAAATGTAAAACTGGCACTGGCTCACATTTGGAGCAAGGCGATTTGTCAACAAACTTCCTAAGAAGACTTTCTTATTCTGAGAAAAGAGATTTGTCTGGGAGTGAATAGAGATGGATAAAGACGTGGAGTAGGCCTTGGGAAAGGGTAGGTCACATGAAAGCTGCCAATATGGCAAATAAGAGCAACACAAAAGCCACACTTTTGAGGCTTTAGAATTACAAAGTCCCCAATTTCTAGGAATGGGCTTCCTTATTTTGGCCAGAAAAGCTTCTGTGTTATTGCTGACATCTAATAAATACTTCATAAAAACTAACTCAGTAATACTTCCTCCCTTTACATCTTACTTCCTCCAGGAAGCCACCAGCCTGATCAATTTTCTTTGTTTTAATATTTAAAAACACAAAACAGTGTAGTCATGTTTGAGGCTTAAAATATAAGGCTGAGCAAGATAACTGAAACATGTTCTAATTCATTTCTTCTGTAGTAGCATATATATTGCTGCACACCCACGCAAAAATCTAATAAAAAGAAGTCTTAGCATATACAAATCAAAGTCATTCTTAGGCTGCTTATCCCATAATAATAAAGAGTCTAATATATAAGAACTGTTCAAAACAATATTTCTGCTGTTCCCTTCTTCCCCAAAACATCTTACACATTTATCCTTCCCTTTAAGGTAGATATGATGAAAAAGCCAGTAATGTTCTCTTGTTTCTGCACTGTAATGAATTTGATCTCTGCAGAGCAGGGATTGCTGATGAGTCTCTAGCTAATTTTGTGGTTAGGTTCCGTTTATAATTTAAGCATTACAAAGATATTTTTAAATGCCTTCCGTGTTCCTATCTAAGCTCCATAGGTATTTGTCCTTCATATGCCACTCTTCATTTGACACTGAACGTAGTTGCTTTGAGTGATATGATTTCTGGGATTCTGACTCTCCAGCAGTGAAAGCACTAAAAAATGGTTTTCTTCCTCTTTTCTAGAAAGCCCATTTTTTGCCTTCACTAAGGGTTTCCACATAAAGGATGAATCATCTGACAAGGAAGACGGAACACTGAGCACATATCATATGGGTTATTTTCATAAGATAATTTAGAGCTGGAAAGGACCTTAGAGGACATCTAGTTCAGCTTCTTCATTTTACAGATGAAGAAACTGAGGCCAAAAGAGAGGTTCAGTGGGATGCCCAAAGTTCAGGATTTAAATCCAAGGTCCTCTGACCCCAGATACAGTGTTCTTTGCATTGTACCATAATGACTCTCAAAAATATCTCTTCTCTAAGTAGAGTGCCACCTTTATAAGTGATAATTAACAAAAAAGTAATTTCTTCAGTGGCATTTATGGCACCCAATTCAACCTCAGTTTGCAGAAATTCACTCAGAGCTACTGCTCATTTGCATCCAACACTTTATACACTGGCCCCCTTCTTTAAAGATATAGTTTGTCATCTTTTCTTACAAAGACACTAAAAAGATAATCTATCATCGTGTTAACTGGAAGGCACAGAATAGGTTTAAAGAGAATAGCAAGCAGATAAACAGACTTCTAAAATGACATTAGCCCTCCTCTAAGGCCATGATTATGGCCTGCCAACAATTTTCTAGTGGCCTAGAACAGAATTCCTCAGGCTTTCCACTAGTTATAGGTGTCTCCTTTCTCTACTACAGAGGACTTAGGTAAATGCAGTTGGGGTGTGTTAGAGAAGCAGTAATAACAACTAAGGAATGATTTTGAGGGAGAGCAGCAACATAGTTTTAACTGGAGACTAGCCAAACCTGTGTTGATAAATGAAATTTATCCAGGCATAAAAATAATGTGCAACTATTTGTGTCAGCCCTTATCATTTCACACACCTGGGTGACGGCCCTTTGGAACAACTCTAATGGAAATCACTTATTCCACCAACTTTTACTTAAAAAAAAATCAAGTCATTACAGTAGATTACTCTGTTTTAGTAAAGTAGCAACTAGCTTACATGCTTTGAGAGCTGTTATTAAGTTGCAATGTCCCATATGACAGCATTAAAACACCACCTCTTCTGGCAGCTTCAACTATGTGGAGTTAATTTTAAATAGGAAACGTTAAGTCCCTGCACATTCAGGAGCCAGTGCCTGTTTTATGAAGCGAAACGACAGCAATAGTTTAGAACGTTTTCTACGAAACCGTCAAGAAGGGGAAAGATAAGGAAAACAACAGGTAAATGTGATGTATTGACAAACACTGGGCTAAAGGCCCTAGGTTTCCTTGCAAATACAATTTAAAACCAGTTGCACACGTTGCATTTGGTATCCCCTCTTCCAAGCTCCCGGCAGCCCTGACAGTTTTAAGAGTAAAGCGAGGAGACACAAACACCAAAAGAAAATATCCTTTACTTAGGTTGCCTCCAAGAAAGCTTACACTCAACTTCTTAGCAGAAATGGCTACGTAAGAACACTGAAAGTATGCAGAAACCGGGGCAGCTTCTCTAGGTATAAAACTGGGTGGGGGGAGGGGAGCAGATGAAAGAAACAATCCTATAAAGTCAAGTCATTTAAAAAAGAAACTCCTCCAAAGAAGAAAGGCAATAGAAATTTCAACATTTCTTTTTGCTGCACGACATCAGAATGTCATGAATATGGGGCGCTGGGGAGAGGGTTTGGAAAATCCCCACCGCCCGGTCCTGCACAAACCCGAGGCCCAGAAGCTCAGCCCTTCCCCCAACCCCCCAGCCCAGCTCCCGGCACCCACCCAGTCTTCCCGGAGCTGACATGCAAACGCCCAGCGAGCACCATTGGCCCCGAATCTGAGCCTTCCTTCTCCGAGCTATTCGTCTTCTCTTCTCTTTGGGGCGTATGGGGTGTGGAAAGCATGGGGGTGTGGGAAGAGGAGGAGCAGGGGTTTGGAAAGGAGCAAGTAAAGTGGGGCCCGGTACCGAAATGTACAACATTCAGATCCGGTAAATACAATAAACAGGTGGACGCCCCTTCTAAACGCATTTCTTGGGCGGGGGAGGGAAATTTAAGGCTAAATCGAAGGGGGGAAAGGGAAGAGGAGGAGATCTCAAAGCGGCAAAGACGCACACAGAGAGAGACCCGATAAATAAACCTGAAGGACATTTTATTCGCTCCTGCCTCTCCCGGGCCCCCGGAAAATGGCTGCCAGTGGTGCCTTTGCCAGTGACTGCAAACGCCCCGGCCACTGGCCGGGTCCCCGCGCTCTTACCTTTGAATTTGAGCTCGTGCTGCGGCTCTAGGCTCAGAACCTGCTCCACTTTCGCCATATTCCTCGGATTTGGGGGGAGGGGCGGGGGCGGGAGAGGGGGTGGAGGCGGCTGCTTCCAGCTGCACCAGTTTTGGTGACCCAAGGAGATTAAAATAAAGATGACATGGAATAATATATTGTTAAAAAAAATTTTTTAAAGGGACACAGACGGAAAGCGGTGAAGGGTCGCGGTGAACTGGTACAGGGCGGGCGGCGGCGAGATGCCCAGGGAGCCTAGCAGCGGCCCGGCACACTCACACTCGCACACACATACACATACACACACACTCGCACACACGCACTTCACGCACGCACGCACACGCAGACCCACAGCCAGACTCAGGGAGAGAGGGAGAGGCAGAGAGAGGGAGCAAGCAGCAAAGGAGAAAGAGTTGGGAGGTAGTGGCGGCAGCAGCAGCAGCAGGAGGAGGAGGAGGCGACTGTGATGATGCAGCACGAAGAGGGCCAGAGAGAGGCCGGAGCTGACGTAGCGATCACTGCAAAAGCCTTTTCCTTCTTTAAACCCACCTGGGCTTTTTCCAGCCCAGGGAGAATGCGCGCGTGCTAGGTTTGACTGGGACAGAGAGGGAAGAGATCGCGCGCAAAGAAGGGAAGAAGGGCCGCGCGCCCCAGAGAGAGGGCGTGGTGCTTGGGGCGGAGCGCGTCGCTAGGGGTAGGAGGCAGAGGGTCTGGGACCTCCTGGAGGGACAGGGCGGGGGGTGCGGGGAGAGGGTTGAGAGCCGCAGAAATGCCTACGGCATGGGGGCGCGGGTTCGCACGCGGCGGCACACATGCATTGGAATGGGGAGCAAAGGCGCGCCCGGCACTGCCTTGGCACTGCTTTTATTTCTGGAGACCACTCCTAGTTCATTCTTGGGTGTCGTCTGCCGGCTTTTACCGTTCTTTACACACACACCCCACCCCGGGAGTTACCTCTGCCCAGAGGTCACCTGGAAGGATGGTACTAGGGGCCTGTAGCGCCACAATGATAGTAGCAGCAGTATTCAAGTGAATATGAATTTTAACTCTCAAACATGTGAATGAACTTCGGCGACTAGATGCAAGTGTATTCTTCAGATAATACCTAATGCTTGCATATAACCTTTCAACAGTTTCTACAACCACTCATTATCATTAGAGTCACTAATCGGTTGGGTAGGCTGGGCTCGGGAGAATTACCCCCATTTTAAAGATGAAGGAACCGAGGTCAAGAGAAATCAATTGATTTGTCCATCGTCATGCTGCAGCTAGGTGGCGCAGTGGATAGAGTGCTGGCCCTTGAATCGGAGGACCCGAATTCAAATTCTGTCTATCACACCTACTGTGACCCTGAGCAAATCACTTCACCCAGTTTGCCTCAATTTCCTCATCTGTAAAAGGAGTTGGAGACGGAAATGGCAAGCCACTCGGGTATTTTTACCAAAATAAGCCCAAATGGGGTCAGGAGGTGTTGGACATGACTTAACATACCATTAGTAAAAAGTGGCCTTTTACCCTGGGTTTTCTGCAGCTTGGGACAATGGCCTGTGTTAGATTCTACTGTAGCCTTTTCTATATATTAAGTAATAGGTGCTCCACAGTCCACTGAAAGCCTTTGAAGGTATCTTCAGACTATTCCATAAAATATAATTAAAGTGGAAGTCTTACATCAATCAGGAAAGGGAAAGACTATGAAATACTTTCTTCTATGGAAGTTCTCTGAAAAGAAACATTTTCCCTGTTATTCTCTTACATCAATTCCTTAATATAATAATAATTTATCAGTGTTATGACAGTAGTTTATCTCTGTAGGGAATTAGGATCCATAAAATCTGGTTCTGATTTTTATTTTTGTGCCTAAGCAGATCTAGGGCTTTTCATTGGCAGGAATGTTTTAGCATCTAACAATAAAAGATGATGAATCAACCTATTAAGATTTGCAACAACGAGGAAGATTGTGTTGAAACATTAAGGAAGTAGGCTACAGTATATATCTGCATTATTTATAATGTATACCACCTCTTCAGCTGTTCCTGTCCATTTCAAGCTTCTCTGTTTATCTTTAGCAGGACTCTTTCTGATCCTGTTTAATGTTTTGAGTTCAGTGGCTTAAAAAGACTCTTCTTTCTAATTTCACTACATAATTTAAGTCATTTTGCTTTTCTTCATTTACTTTAAAAAATTGGCCCTTTGAAGAATGACAGCTTTGGTTTGTCTATATTTAAAAGCTGCAATATGAAAAAAAATTAGCATTTTAATTATGGGCTACATGTTAAATGACCCTCAGCCCTTAGGAGATATACAAGGTTAGTATTATAAATGCAAGTACAAATCAGCTCATACATAGTCAAGATTCTGTTACCTATGCAAATAATTAAGGCATGTCAAACAGAGGCTTAGATGTATGAAATCAACTTTGTCCAGAAAGTGATTTCTATTTAACAATCACTTCAGATGCTACTTTTTGTACTTCTTTAAATGTTCTTCCACATTTGCCAGATCACTTTAGCCTCTATATCAGTTTACTACATTTCAATACTGAAGAGGCTTTCCAAGTTAAGATTTTTTCTACTTGAACTCAGTCATTTAGAACAATTGTACTTTTTAAAAAATTAATTTGATCTCTATAATCTTCATATGAGGCTTTAAAACTTTCCACCCAAAAATTGGCAAATATTTGATAATTGTACCTTATCCTATTTGTAAAAATTGGACCATCACCACACCAGACCCTTCTATCCTCCACTATCTCCCAAAGTCTGTCCAAAGTTCATGTTTGTTGTTTCCATACTATCTATTGATCTCATTCTCTGCCACCCTCTTTTTCTTTTGCCTTCAGTCTTTTCCAACATCAGGATCTTTTCCAAGGAGTCCTATCTTCTCATTATGTGGCCAAAGTAGTTAAGCTTCAGCTTCATTATTGACTAACCTTCCAGTGAATAGCCTGAATTAAATTCTTAACCATTGACTGATTTGATCAATCCTTGCTGTCCAAGTGACTCTCAAAAGTCTTCTTCAGGACTAGAGGGGTTCAGTGAGAGCTAAATGAATATATGCAAGATATTTTGCAAACCTTAAAGCAGTATAATAAATTTCAACTATTAATTATTAAAGGTGTTTTCTGAATTCTAATACTGTGAAACTGCTAGAAAATGCTGAGGAGTTTCAGGCAGCACTGTTTAAAATGAAAATCTAAATTCTTAGGCTCCTGATGAAAACAATGGGTCTGTTAACACCCTAATTCATTCTGACAAGATGTCAGATGTAAATTTCTTTTTGCTACAATCTGAGTCAAGAGCCTTCCAGGCTATGTATTCTCTTTTGTGGGCCTTTTGAAGAAATAATGCTTGTAATGAAAGATCTAAGAAAATTGTTGCTTTGTTTCCCACACGTATTGAACTTTTCAGTATAGCCGCATATTTTAAGCTGGTATTGACTGGACTCAAAACTACCTGCTAACTTTAAATTTTTTTTTATTTTTTTTCAGCCAAAGACAAGATTTATCAGAACATCTATCATATTGGGCAGACTCTTAAGGAGTCTGAACATTAGTAAGCTATTGGCTTATTGGCTAGATTATAAGAATCTCAGCATCTTTATATATATATATATATATATATACACATATATATATGTATATATATATGTATGTATATATATATAAATTTATTTATTTTTAGTTTTCAACATTTACTTCCACAAGATTTTGAGTTCCATATTTTCACCCCATCTTGCCCCTCCCCCCACCCCAAGATGGCATGCATTCTGAATACCCCTTCCCCTAGTCTGCCCTCCCTTCTATCTCTCCCCCCACCTCCTCTTATCCCTTTCCTCTTCTATTTTCTTGTAGGGCAGGATAGATTTCTGTACCTCATTTCCTGTATTTCTTATTTCCCAGTTGCATATGGAAACATTTTTTTTAAACATGTGTTTTTAAAACTTTGGGTTCCAAATTTTCTCCCTTCCTCCCACCCCACCCACCCTCATTGAAAATGCAAGCAAGTCAATACAAGCCATACATATGCAGTTATGCAAAACACTTCCATAGCACACATGTTGTGAAAAACTAACTGTATTTCCCTTAATCCTATCCTGCACCCCCCATTTATTCTATTCTTTCTTTTAACCCTGTCCCTCCTTAGTACTTCCTTCTGATTACCCCTTTCCCAATCTGCCCTTCTCTCTATCACCCCCCTGCTCTCTTGTCGCCTTCCTCCCCTATTTTCCTGTAGGGTAAGACAGATTTCCATACCCAATTGAGTATGTATGATATTCCCTGCTTAAGCCAAATCCTATGAGAATAAGATTCCCTCATTTCCCACCTTCCCCTGTTTCCCCTCCACTGTAAGAACCTTTTTTGTCTGTTTTGTTTGTGCAAGATAATGTACCCCATTCTACCCCTCCCTTTCTTCTTCTCTGAGTATAATCCTCCCTCATCCCTTAATTTTATTCTCCAGATATCACCCTTTCATCTTCAACTCACCCTGTGCCCTCTATCTATCTATCTATCTATCTATCTATCTATCTATCTATCTATCTATCTATCTATCTATCTATCTATCTATTTTTCCCCTCCCACTACCCTAATACTGACAAAGGTCTCATTATGAGTTATAAATATCATCTTTCCATGCAGGAATGTAAACAGTTTGGCCTTAATAAGTCTCTTATGATTTCTCTTTCCCGTTTACCCCTTCATGTTCCACTTGAGTCTTTTATTTGAAAGTCAAATTTTCTATTCAGCTCTGGTCTTTTCATCAAGAATGCTTGAAAGTCCTTTATTTCACTGAATGACCATTTTTTCCCCTGAAGGATTATACTCAGTTTTGCTGGGTAGGTGATTCTTGGTTGTAATCCTATCTCCTTTGCCCTCCGGAATATTATATTCCATGCCCTGCAGTCCTTTAATGTAGAAGCTGCTAAATCTTGTGTTATCCTGATTGTGTTTCCACAGTACTTGAACTGTTTCCTTCTGGCAGCTTGTAATATTTTCTCCTTCACCTGGGAACTCTGGAATTTGGCTACAATATTCCTAGGAGTTTTCCTTTGGGATCTTTTCAGGGGAGATGGTGGATTCTCAATTTCTATTTTGCCCTCTGGTTCTAAAATATCAGGGCAGTTTTCCTTGATAATTTCTTGAAAGATGATGTCTAGGCTCTTTTTTTGATCATGGCTTTCAGATAGTCCAATAATTTTTAAATTCTCTCTCCTGGATCTATTTTCCAGGTCAGTTGTTTTTCCAATGAGATATTTCACATTGTTTTCTAATTTTTCATTCTTTTGGATTTGTTCTACTGTGTCTTGATTTCTCATAAAGTCACTATCTTCCAATTGCTCTATTCTAATTTT